ATAGAAGCCGGCCCGACAGCACGTTTCTAATCTAAGCATTCCAGAGGCTGAGGCAAGAGGATTGTTTCAAGTTCAAGATGGCCTGGGCTACAATGTGAACTCACGGTCACCTTTTTGGTATCAGAGATACCACTCGCGACTTTATGTTTACCCTTCAGGTGCTTATGCTGGTGAGCTAAATCCCCAGCCCTACAATTGAATTATTCATGGCAAAAACACTGACAGCAATTCCAGTAGACATTCCTCACTGAGCTGTTTTCCCACAACTAGGTTGTTCATTGGATTGGTTGCTAAGTAAGGAATTGTGTGTGGCATGCACATTTCCATATTCAGAACAAAGAAATGGTCAGAGAAACTCCAAGTAGATGACCTTGATTTATTTACACACTTTCCACATGCAGTACTGTAAGGTAAATGTGAACATTAAGCTGTATACAGTACAATCACAAGTCACACGACCATATAACCAAGGCGTACAGAGCTCTGCTGAAGACACCTGTAAGTCCCAGAGATGGGTCATAGTCTGAACATCTCACCTCAGTCACAGGCTCAACCAACCCTCGTATAGATAGATCACCAAATGTGAGCCCTATGTACTAGACACTTAAGTGGGTTGTTAGGTATCTGAAGAGAAATGGGTTATTTATGGACTATCAAACAAATTGTCAATGACATTAATCACAAAGTGGAACACAGAAATTATTGCAGAACACTGTCAAATGCAATAAACAAAGAAGCAGACTGATCATACCACCAGAAGTTCACTAGTGACACTATGCACATGTGCACACAGCACAAGGGGGAGGCTCTATATTCCTAGTGTGTCCTTGGCAAAATGTATAACCCTATGGTAATAAGGGAAGGCTGCACAGACCAAGAGGGATACTCTATCAAAGGGAATGAAATATCAAAGAGAAGACCAAAACTACTGAGACGAAAGACGTAGACTAACGGACTTGCCGGAAGATGGCACAGCAGAAAGCAGCATCCTCTCAATCATCGTCCAGAGGCGGAAATACAGCATCTCGAGGAAGACAAGCAGGAAGGGAGTGTGTCCCCTGGTCCCAGGGATTCTCCCTAACTGTGAATTGAAGCCCACAGAGTTAAAAGAAAAGCTTCAATGAAGAAGGTGGCAGCTGGTGGCACCTTCACCCAGAGCTGGACACTGCTCTGAAGGAGGTGCTGGAACCTGGGGACACACAGTCACATGACGGTGGCAGCTGGTGGCCCCCAAAAGTGGAGTGGGGTGGAGGGCCTGGAGGACTGCACTGGCTGGCAGTGAGTGCAGAGGACTCGGTCCCCTGCAGGAGCAAACTACTGGTCGGGAGCCATTTTGGACCAGGCCCAGATAAGCCCAGAACCAGAACTGCGGCCGCCTTCTCCCAGCAGCTCCTAGCTGGGCGCCAGAGCTGTGGAAACTGCTTGGACTGCAGAAGCTGAATGCGTCTGGCCCCAGGCAGGCCTGCTGAGGTTGTGTGCTCCTCCTCCACGAGGCCATGGCTGCCCTGCTGGGCTACAGCCTCAGGATTCGAATGCTGGCTCCACAGGCTATCTGCTGGAGTGGACCCCTCCTTTCTCTTAGAGGTGGACCCCTCCTTTCTCTTTCCTTTTCTTGTTTGTTTTATTTTGTTTGTTTTTCATTGTTTAAAATCAGTGTGAGTGTGGTTTCTAACCTCTTTGTGAGTGGGGTTCTCTTCTGTTACACCTTTTATCTCACCCTCCTCTCTTTTCCTGCAGTCTTCTGCACCACTTTCCCAAGTTGGCAGGATCCATCTTTGTTCTACCTTACTTGGAATCTCTTTCTCTTTTTGCAGTTCTCTATTTTCTTCTTACTCTATTTTAAATTTTAACCCTGAGGGCAAAATTGACACATTATGGACTTATATATTGCATGTAATTATCAAGTCTGTTCCACATCTTGTTATCTAATCACAAATCTAGTTCATATACTTTACAGCTGCAAATTAAGGGTTATATCAGTTTGCTCTTTTATGGGCTGTGTTTCAAAATATTGGTACCACCACAGCCAAAATCTACACAATCGTTCCACAGAGCTGCTGGCCCTGATAATCCATGACTGAAATTAACCAAGGTGACAGAAAATCCTATGGCACAGTGCCAAAGAACCAGAGACTAGGCCACAGGACCAACAGTTTTTCATCTCCAACAAACAGACGAAGGAAGATCTTCCAAAAGACTCAAAACTCAAAAACCAGCTACACCTGGCAGATACTTCAGAGAAGTAGTCATCAGGTGATCTAAGTGTCCAAAATATCACCAATAAAGCAACCCACTATAGGCAACTTGCAAGCATCATCCCAGAAATTAAACTACAAAAAAAAAATTAGGAGACATTTAAACAAGAAGCAACACCAGACACCCGGTTCATCAAAGGCAAACCCAGGAGCAACGAGGTGGGACAGTCCCACAGCCCCCATCTGGTCTCTCTAAAGAATCAACAAAGCAATTGAATGAAGCTCTGGAAAAGATGAAATCAGAAACTATCTCTCAAATAACTACAGAGATTACCAAAATACACATCATGCTTAGCAATGTTAAAGCAGACACAGACCAAAAAAAAATAGATGAGCTCAAGCAAATTACACAAGTGCAGCATAGGAAAGAAACAGAATCCATAAGGCACATTTAAGCAGATATCCAGGACAGTAAGTAATCCATTGAAAGTATTCAGATTAGGTTAGTGTGAGGACAGGATCTCAGATATTGAAGACAAGCTTGCAGTTAGCGACCAGGAAAAGAAAGACTTTTCAAAACTAGCAAGGGAACATGAGAAATCAATTGAGAAGCTGCTAGATGAGACAAAGAAGACTAACTTAAGATTAATTGGAGTCAATGAACAAGCAGGAGATAATGACATTAAAAAGAATATCTTGGAGTGATGTACTCCAAATTCTGAAGGAAACATCTTTCAATCCAGATGGATGTATCCCATAAAACTGCCTTTCAAAACTGATAGAGAAATAAGATGCTTCCATGACAAAGAACATCTTAGGAAATTTATGATCACCAAACAGCAATATAAACTGTTCTGAAAGACATTCTAGAAAGAGGTAGTAAGTACTACAGCTCCATGAACCACAACAGAATGAATCCAGCAGGAAAGAGTAATAATTACGGGGAAAGAAACAAAAAAAAAAGGACATCAACCTACAATAGGAAAATAATACGACAAGGATAAATCAGTACATACCAGTTTTAACCAATAAAGTTAATGGTCTCAACTCACCAGTCGAGAGACATGGACTGGCAGGATGGATCAAGAAGCAAGATCCAACAATATGCTGCACACAAGAAACACATTTAATCCAAAAGGCAATTCGTAGACTGAAAGACAAAGGATGGAAAACAATATTCTATGCAAAAGGGACCCAGAAAAAAGCAGGGGTAGCTATTCTATTTGGGGACAAAGTGAATTTCAAACCAAGACTGAATAAGAGAGATAAAGAAGGTCACTACATCCTCACAATAAACCCTAATCCTAATCCTAACCCAAACAGTCCAAGAGGAGGAAATAACAATCATAAATATATATGACAGATACTAGTGCACCCAACTATATAAAACAGTTACTAATGGACATGAAAAATCAAATCAGCCCTAATACAATTGTACTGGGAGACCTCAATATACTGCACTGCCACAAAAAGACAGATCAACTAGACAAAAAACCAATAATGAAATAGTAGAACTAAATCCAACTTTTGAGCAAATAAGAGTAAGTGGATGCCTAGAGTATCCAACCCACAACATTGGAATATACATTCTTCTCAGGTGCACATAATACAGACCATATACTGGCTCATAGAATATTCTTAAATAAATATAAATAAATTGAATTACCCACACATACTATTAGACCACAGTGCAGTGAAACTGGAAAGCCGTGATAAAGGAAACCACAAGAAAGTCATCCACACATGGAAATCAAATAGCACACTGCTGAACAATCAATGGGTCACAGATGAAATTAAAGAAATAATTTTTAAAGTTTTTACAGTTGAATGGTAATGACAATACAATATTCTGGAACTTATGGGACACAATGAAAGCAGTCTTAAGAGGGAGATTTATACAGTAAATACCCATATCTGGAAAACAGAGCAAGTGCATATAAACAACTTAATGTTCAGCCTCAAACTTCTAGAAAAAGAAGAGCAGGCCAAACTAAAATCTCATATAAGGGAGGAAAATGTAAAGATCAGAGCAGAAACTAACACTGAAGACTAAGAAAAAATACAAAGAATCAATGAATTAAAGAATTGGTTGTTGGGAGCCACCACATTGCTGAGCCACCGCATATAGCGATCATGCGGCCTGTGGTAAAGAGTAAAGCCTGAGTTAGATTACCCCTCCCATCGAGCACGTTAGTTTCCTGCTTACCGCGTAAACAACCCGCTCAATAATATGTTAGCCAATCAGCTTGCCTTGCTTACTTTAACATGATTGGACACTGTATCCGTATATATACTGGTGCCACCCCTGGGGGGAAGTAGAAGCCCGGAAGGAGCCGCGGAGAGCGGACCGGTAGAGGCTTCGGAGCGAAGCCCGGAAGGAGCCGCGGAGAGCGGACCGGTAGAGGCTTCGGAGCGAAGCACGGAAGGAGCCGCGGGGAGCGGACCAGAGGAGGCTTCAGCTGGGAGCGATCCCAGGGCAGGCTGTACGGAGAGAAAATAAAAGAAAAGGTTGTCCACTGCCAGACTTTGTCGTGTGTCCTTCCTGCCGGCCGGGAGCGACATCGACAATTGGTTATTTCAAAGATTAAATAAAATTGAGAAACCCTTGCCAATCTTACAAAAAAAAAAAAAAAAAAAAAAAAAAAACGCAAAGACTCAAATCCATCCAATTAGGAATGGAAATGGTGAGATCACAACAGACCCTGCAGAAATCCAGAAAATCATCTCTACCTAGTTTGAAACCTTGTATTCTAATAAGATGGAAAATATAGAAATTGAAGACGTAATTAAAAACCTACCCACTGCTGAATTCCACAGTAATTTATGAAGACCTAACATGAATTCCTCTCAAAGTCTTTAATAAAGTTGAGGGAGCCAATATTCCCAGATTCATTTTTGAAAGCAAGCAGTGTGTGTTCCTTCATGGCTGAATGCTTTCCCACACTGCCTACATAGACAGGTTTACACCTCAGGGTGATTTGCTGCCTGTTTCATAAACACAATGTGTGGTGAAGGTCTGCTCCCATTATTTACTGATGTAGGGCTTCTCCAGGGAGAATCAGTTCTCTCTCCCTCTTGGCGATCTCTGTGTGTTCCAAGCCTGTATTTGCTGCTTATGTACGTATTGCTCCCCAGTGTGGTTCACTACATGCCACTGACAATTGCCTGTGTGATCTGAAAGCTTTCCCACACTGCTAACATACACAGGCTTTCTCTGCCCTGTAGGTTCTTTCACATTTTTGACAATTATGTCATCTGCTGAAAGCTTTTTCATATTGGTTACAAGCATAGGAGCTTGCCACATTGTCTAGGCAAGACTGTAGTGTGTTCACAGCTTTTTGCATTGCTCACACACATAAGTTTTCTCCCCAGTGTAAGCTCGAATATGGCTGTATGTGCTGACAGCTTTTCCTCGGGTTTACACACACAGGGCTTCTCCTCAGTGTGAATTCTTTCATGGATTAGACACTTACCATGTGTGATGAAAGCTTTCCCTCACTACGTACATACATAGGAATTCTCCCAATTTGAGTGCTTCCAAACCTGCTTTGCTTGTTAAAGCTATGCTTACGTACATTGGGATTCTGCCCACTTTGGATTTTTTAAGATTCGTCACAACCACGTTTTCTGCAGAAAGGCTTCTGACAGTGGTTCCATGCATTGCCATTCTCCCTGGTGTGTACCTGCTCATGCTTCTGACGTACACCAGATGTGTTGAAACATTTCCCACACTTCTTATGAAAGATTTCCTACCAGTGTGATTCCTTTCAAGTATCTAGCATGGCGATTTTCAGCTCAAAGCTCTCCCACATTGTGTACAGATACAGGGTTTCTCTCCAGTGTGAGTACATTCATGGGTTAGACAGCTTGCACTTGTGCTGAAAGATTTACCACACTGCTTACATGAATAGAGTATCTCCTATAGTGAATTCTTTCACGTATCTGATATGTACTACTCATGATGAAGGCTTTCCCACATTGTTTACATAGGGTTTCTCTCCACTGTGCATTTTTCCATGTTCTTTTAGATCATACTTCCTGCTGAAAGCTTCTACAATGAAGACATACATAGGGTTTCTCCCCAGTGTATGTTCATGACTTTAACATACAACGTAACTGCTGAAAGCTTTTTCCCACATTCCTTACACACATAGGGTTTCTCTCCCGCTGAGACCGTTCATGAATTTGCCAACTTGACTTTGTTCGGAAAGCTTTCCCACATTGCTCACATAGATAGGGCTTCTCCCCAGTATGAATCTGTTCATGTGTTTGACAATTACCACGTGTGCAGAGCACACTGACCTCACACATTCGGCTTCTCTCTAGTGTGAGTCCATTCATGTACTTTACATACACTTCTCGAGTTGAAAGCCTTCCCACATTGCTTGCATATATACGGTTTCTCCCCAGTATGAGTCCGTTTATGGATCTGCCAACCTTCTTGACTTCGGAAAGCTTTCTCACACTGAGTGCACACATAGGGTTTCTCCCCAGTGTGAGTCATTTCATGCTTTACCAAACCATTACGGCTGCTGACAGCTTTCCCACATTGCTTACATATGCAAAATTTCTTCCCAGTATGAGTCCACTCATGCATCTGAAAACTATGTTTACTGCAAAAAGTTTTGCCACATTGCTTACATACAAATGGTTTCTCACCAGTGTGAGTCCTTTCATGCAGTTTCCAACCTTTTCTGCTTTTGAAGTGATTCCCACACTGCTTACATACATAGGGTTTCTCCCCAGTGTGACTATGTTCATGACTTTGACATACAATAGGACTGTTGAAAGCTTTCCCACATTCCTTACACACATAGGGTTTCTCTCCTGTGTGAGACCGTTTGTGAATTTGCCAACCTAACTTTGTTCGCAAAACTTTCCCACATTGCTCACATAGATAGGGCTTCACCCCAGTATGAATCTGCTCATGTTTTTGACAATCACTACGTGTGCTGAAAGCTTTACCACACTGACTACACACATGCGGCTTCTCTCCAGTGTGAATCCGTTCGTGTCCTTTGTAGGTACTGCGAGAGCTGAAAGCTTTCCCACACTGCTTACATATGTAGGGTCTCTCCCCAGTGTGAGTCCATTCGTGTACTTTACATATACTTCTCGAGTTGAAAGCCTTCCCACATTGCTTGCATATATACGGTTTCTCCCCAGTATGAGTCCGTTTATGGATCTGCCAACCTTCTCGACTTCGGAAAGCTTTCTCACACTGAGTGCATACATAGGGTTTCTCCCCAGTGTGAGTCTTTTCATGCTTCACCAAAGCACTACGGCTGCTGACAGCTTTCCCACATTGCTTACATACGCAAAGTTTCTTCCCAGTGTGAGTCCACTCATGCATCTGCCAACTATGTTTACTGCAAAAAGTTTTGCCACATTGCTTACATACAAATGGTTTCTCACTAGTGTGAGTCTTTTCGTGTAGTTTCCAACCTTTTTTACTTTTGAAGTGCTTCCCACATTCCTTACATACGTAGGGTTTCTCCCCAGTGTGAATTCCTTCATGTATTTGACATTCAGCACGTGTGCTGAAAGCTTTCCCACATGGCTTACATACATAGGGTTTCTCTCCATTATGCATTTTTTCATGTTTTTGACAAGAATGTTTTGTGGTAAAAGTTTTTCCACAATATTTACATACACAGGTTTTCTCCCCAGTGTGAGTCTGTTCATGAAGTTTACACACACTTTGTGTGCTAAAAGCTTTCTCACTCGGCTCACATGCATGAGACTTCTCCCCAGGGTGAGCTCGTTCACACAAATCCCAGTTATCTTTGTGCCTAAAAAGTTTGTGGCCCTGTTCACATGCAGGTTTCACAGCAGCGTGAGTGCTTTCACCAGCTTGTGAAACACCACTCCTGCTGAAAGCTAATCCACACTGCCTGCGTGAACAAGATTCCTCCCCAGTGTGACGGCTTTTATTACCCAATGAATCGTTAGTGAAGGATTCTCCACAGGGTTTCTGTGCATGAGTCTTTGCTGCAGGACGAGCGGCTCCAGCTGTCAGAATGTCTTGTTGAGAATGAAAGCCTTCTCCCAATGCTCCCCCCGTGCACTTATGCAGTTCCCGGTGATCGTGTGCTCCCCCTGGGGCATCACTGGGTGCGATGACTGATTGGCCATCTGGCTTCTTTGCAATGGGATTCTTCTCAGTGCAAACAGAATTCAACTGTGCAGAGGGTCTACGTTCAAGGGGCTTCTCTCCAGGACTTGTCACTGCATATTTCCGAGGAGAGTGGAGTTCTGTGCAGTCTGTGCCATGTCTGTTGCGGGAAAACTGCTCCTCCTGAAATCCATGCTGTTCAAATGGTCTGAGTGCAGCGGCAGCCACCATGGGCCCATGTGCTGATGAAGGACCCACCAGGGGCCTTCTAGAGGAAACATTTCCACCTGGTTTTACGCCAACAGCTGTCACATGCTCGTGTGCATCTGGAGTCAGAGAGACCATTTTGCCATGCTGCCACAGGAACTGATATCGGCAGGACTGCTCGGCCTCTTCACTTCTGCCAAAGGAGAGTGACAAACAACCAGTTACATTTTGTTCTCTCGCTTAGTAATGATTCCCCATGAGATCTGCTGTGATGCTTCCTAACAACGTATAATCATCGTCTTACTGTATGTTCTGCATAATGGCTTGGCCTGAGATTTCACTGAAAAGGGAACACTCATTTGGGAGTCTGGAATCGAGCTGCATGCAGCACACCCTGGCTTTCACCCTGAGGACATGGGCCACATCTTGCTAAGCCCAGCTCCATGCACTGATGCCCTCTGACACCTTTCCCCCCGTGACCCCATCCCCTGCCCCCCACTCAGCCCCTCAGCCCCTCCAGTGCCTGCCTCTCTCTCTCCACCATCTCTCCTCCACTAACTCCTCCACTCCTGTGCTAGGGTTCCTGTGCCAAATAGAACCTGTCACTTTGAAATTTCTCTGACTTATTTAGGTAAACATTATGGGCTCTGGATCCTTCCATATTTTGGCAAATGTCATCACTTCATTTATTTATGGAAGAACTGTTCAATTATGTGTACATTTCACATGATTTTAAGTGATGGAAATTGAATTAGAGTTTTAGCACTGACACACACACATCAGCATTTCAATTCTTGTTTTGAAACAGAGTCTCAGTAATCTTATTTTGCCCAAGCTGAGCATGAATGCGTCACTTTCCTATTTCACCTTCTTAGAGTACTAGGATTCCAAGCATGCTCCTTTAAGCGCAAGGGATCCCATAATTCCTTAATCAATTTGTCTATGAATTGACACTTAGGTATTATCCAGAGCTTAAGTGTTCTAGATTCTGGTGCTACAAATGGGTATTTCAGCACAATTGTAGTATGCTCACTGTAACACTGTATGGAATATACATAATAGAGGTATGGAAGGATATTGTTACACTTGAGTATGCACGTGTGTGTTCCTGGCAGGCTGAGGCAGGAGGATCACAGCCTGGGCCACTTGGTTAGACTCTGTCTCAAAAACAACCTAAAAGTACAGTTAGATGAAACACAATGTCTATTTTCCCTTTCCTGGGGAATCTCTATACACATTTGCATAGTGTTATAAAACACTGACAATCCCAATAAAACCATGAGGAAGCACGTTCTAATGTTATGGGACAGGAATGGGCTGCGTCTTTGGAGGACTGCAGGAAAACAAATAAATGCGATCAAAACAGTGCTGCTTTTTGGATGTTCAGAACATTCATATTCGCAACTTTAAAACGGTGAATGTGTATGTCATGTATAACTATGTATAATGTGACATGTAACGTGTTTGCTATGACAGGGGCCTTTCAGACACAGGTCTACAGGGCAGGGGATTTATCTCAGCCTCACAAGCACCTGCCTGGAAAGCACAAGGTCATGCATTCTACACTCTGTGCCAAAACAAAATAAAACAGAACACGGGCATATAATTAGAAGTGAATTCTCAGTGTACACACAAAATTTCTTTTGTATCCTTCCGTCCTCAGTGGTGAATGCATTGCCATTTAACTTGTGTATAAACCTAAGAATGGAACACAATTGGTAGTTTTTTTTTAAATTCTAGACATGTCTCTGTTGTGGTTAAGTCTGACTTTGGCCTTAACACGAGGCCTAGTGTGACCTGGAATATGTGGGAATGTTTCTGCTCAGCCTCTTAAGTGCTGGCATTACCAGCAGGTGCTCAATCACCAGGATGTTTGTTTTCTACAATACCTCAACAACATCAGTTATGGCATATTACAAGTACCATCTGCATTTCAGAAATTGGCATATTTCAAATACTCAATCGCAAGATTAGAAATATTGCTGAGGATTTAGCACAGCAGCATAAGCACCTGCCTTGCAAACATGAGGTCGTGAGTTTGATCCCCGGTAACAAGAACCCCAAAAAAAGAGTCTAGAAATACTCATCCACGCACTGCAGAGGGAGAGAACCAGGCCTGACCAAGGGATGACCCCCACCTGGAAGCCATATCGTTTCCATTGTTTTGCTGGGCTGGATTTTATTCTCTTTTGTTTTGCTTAATTCTCACAACCTGAGCAGCTCTTTGAAAGTTAGCAAGACACATCATGGTAGCCATTTTGGACTTCTTACTGGATTGTTTTGAAGTGCTTTATTGCATTCATTGCTTTCCTTTTATTGTTTCTATTCTATTCCATTCTGTTTGATTTTTATTCTGTCCAAAAGGATCTTAAGCTATTCTGAAAACAACAATAGGTATTATGGTAACTATTGTTTGGTCTTCTAAGATTTTGAAATCCTGTATCCCTTATGGTGGTTTATTTTTATTGGTTTTACTCTTGTATTTTCCTTGGTTTTATCCTCTTTAAAATAAAAAAAATAGTTTTGACTGAATTGTCCCAAATCATGAAAGAAAACAACTTCCAACCCAGAAAATATGTACCCTGCAAAACTATGTTTCAAAATTGATGAAAAAATAAGATACTTCCATTATAAAGTACAACTGAAGGGATTCATAACCACAAAACCAACCTTACAGAGTGTTAAAGAATGTTCTAGAGAAAGACAACGATGACTGTGGTTCCAGGAACAGCAGCAGAGGAGGATCACCAAACGAGACAGGCAACTGAATGAAGTGGAAAGTGCAGGGCCAACAGCAGGAGGAGAGCAGGGCAGAGAGAAACCAGTGCATGCTGGCTGTAACCATTAATGTAGATGGCCTCAGGTCAGGATTAAAAAGAAACCCAGGGAAAGTGGATCAAGAGACAACATCTATTGATAGACTGTTTACAAGAAACACATTTAACCAGAAAGGAAACTCACAAACTGAAAATCAAAGGAGAGTAAATAATTGTTCCATGTGACAGAAGACCAGAAAAAACCAAGAGTAACTTGCCCATCAACCACAAAATGGATAAGAAAGATATGGTATTTCCATGCAGTGGAAAACTACCCAGCTATCAAGCAGGATAATCTGAAGGCTCTTGTAGGTAATAATGGTTGTTTTCCTATCATCCAGTTTTGAAGTCTTAGGATACTTTAATTCATTTGTTTAATTGGTTTTATTGTTTTGTTTGATTTTAGTATGCGTGAAGGTATAAACAGCTATTTTTTATTTTAAAGAGAATAAAACATGAGAACACAGCAAAGACAATCAGAACGAAACAATGCAAGCAACACAGCACTTCACAAAGAGACAAACAGGTATCAACAGTAGCTACCATAGTCTCTCTTTTCTTTGAAATAATTGAGCATACCTTCATACACAATCATATCACACATAACAAAACAGCATAAAACCATTGAAGACAATGAAACCATTACAGGATATTCAAAACCAAGTAACAGAAAATGACAATGCTACAATAATATCTCATTTTCCTTAGAATTTTGTTTATACTATCACACATTAAAATCCAATAAGACACAACATGGTAGACCAATGGAAACATAAGAACACAAGCATGGTAGGACTTCAAAGCAAGATGGTATTAAATCAGCAATGTCAGCCATGTCTTGTTTTCTTTAAAGTATGGGTTCATACGATCACGCATAATAAAATCAAACAAAACAGAATAAAACCATTCCAACCAATGAATGAAAACATTATAAGGCTTCAAAGCAATATTATGGGGAACCATGAGTATCACAAAATCTTATGTACTCTTACCATTTCTTATACTAGGGAGCTTACATGGTACTGATACATGTGAGTTTGATTTATTTCACTTACGACTATGGTCTCAAGTTGCTTCCATTTATTTACAAATATCTCAGTGTGATCATGCTTTAGAGTTGAGTAGTACTCCATTGTATAAAAATACCACAACATTTTTTTCCATTCTTCAGTTGATGGACACTTAGGTTGTTTCCAAGATCTGGCTATTATAAATTGTGCGGCTATAAACATGGATGCACATATATCACTGTGGTATCATGTTTTCAGTTCTTCTGTGACTATGCCTAGAAGGGGAATAGCTGGGTCAAATGGGACTTTCAATCCCAGCTTTTTGAGCAATCTCCAGATTGACCTCCACAGTGGTTGCACCAGTCTACAATCCTACTAAAAGTGCAGAAGAGTTCTTTTTTCCCCACAGCCTCTCCAGCATTTGTTGTTGGTATTTTTCTTGATCCTGGCCATTCTTTCAGGAATGGGATGAAATCTCAGTGTGGTTTTAATTTGCATTTCTCTAATGAGTAATGATGACGAACATTTTTTCATGTATTTATTTGCCATTTGTATTTCTTCATCTGAGAACTGTGTATTCATCTTAGATGCCCATTTTTGGATTGAGTCTTTGAATTTCAGGGGTCTGATTATTTTTAATTCTTTATATGTTCTAGAGAGAAGTCCTTTGTTAGAGTACAGTTCACTAGATTTTTTCCCCAATTTTTGGGTTTTCTTTTTACTATGCTGGAGATTTCTTTTAACATGCAGAAACTCTTTAATAAGACATGATCCCAGTTATTGATTCTGGGAAGTATTTCGCATACAGTTTGATTGTTATTCATCAATTTTCTACCTACCCCTATGTCTTCAAGATTTTTACCTACTTTGTCTTCTAACAGATTTAGTGTTTGTTTTAATATGTAGATCTTTGATCCATTTAGACTTTAGTTTAGTACATGGCACTAGGCATGGATCTAGTTTTAGTTTTCGGCATATGGAGTGCCAATTTTTCTAGCACCATCTATTAAAGAGACTATCTTTTTTCCAGCGGACATGTTTGGCCCTTTTATCAAACATAAGGTAGCTGAGTGTGCTTGTAGTTGTGGTTGTATCTTCTAATCTATTCCATTTATTTTTACGTCTGTTTTTATTCCAGTACCATGTTGATTTTATTACAGTAGCTTTGTAGTGTAACTTCAAGTCAGGGATTGTGATGCCTCCTGCCTTGCCTTTGTTGTTTAGAATTGCCTTTGCTATTCTGGGTTTCATCTGGTTCTAGATCAATTTTAGGAATGATTCCTCTAGATCTATGAGATGTTAGTGGTATTTTGATGGAGATTGCATAAATCTGTATAATAATTTTGGGAGAATAGCCATTTTCACAATATTTATTCTTCCTATCCATGAACAAGGGATGTCTTTCCATTTTCTGAGGTCCTTTTCAATTTCTTTTTTCAGGGTACTATAATTTCTCCTGAAGAGATCTTTTACTTCTTTTGTTAGATTGAGTCTCAAGAAATTCAGTTTTTTGGATGCTATTGTGAAGGGTGGGCTTCTCCTAGTTCCCTCAGTGATTTTGTTAGTGTATGGGAATGCTATTGATTTTTGAGTGTTGACTTTGTATCCAGCTACTTTACTAAATTTATTTATTTCATCTAGGATTTTTCAATGGAGTTTTGAGAGTCTTCTATGCAGAATATCATGTCATTTTCAAATAATGATAACTTAACTTCTTTTCCTATCCTTACTCCTTTTATTTCTCTCTCATCTAATTGCTAGTGTTTCTAGCCTATGTTGAATAGGAGTGGTGGTAATAGACATCTTTGTCTTGTGCCTGATTTTAGGTAAAGGCTTTCAGTTTTTGGCCATTTAATATGATGCTGGCTGTTGGTTTGTCATAGATGAACTTTAACACATTGAGGTAAAGACCACCTATTCCAATTCTCTGTAAGGTTCTTATGCATTAGTGTTCAAAGTTTTTTCTGCATCTATATAAATGATCATGTGATTATTTTTGACTCTACTGATATGGTGGATTATATTTATTGATTTATGTATGTTGAACCATCCCTGCATTCAGGGATGAATCTCACTTGGTTGTGTATAATCTTCTTGATGAACTGCTGCATTCTGATTGCCAATATTTTATTGAGAATTTTGCATCTAAGTTCATTAGGGAAATTGGCCTGTAGTTCTCTTTTTCAGTTGAGTCTCTCTCAGGTTTTGGTACTAGAGCAGTATTTGCTTCCAGGAATAAGAAAGAATTGCTTCCCTTTCAATTTCATTGAAGAGTTTGAGAATTGTCAGCATTAAGTCTTTTTGAATTTATTGTAGAATTGTGCAGCGAATCCATCTGGGCCTGGGCTCTTCTTCATTATTAAGGATTTAATTACACTTTCAATTTCATTACTAGAAATTGGGTTATTCAGCACTTCTCATCTTCTTGACCCAGCTTTGGTATTTCATACGTTTCTAGGAATCTGTATATTTCTTCAGTGTCCTCAAACCTCTGAGAGTAGAGGTTTTCAAAATAGGTATTGCTGATCTTCTGTATTTCCACAGGGTCTGCAGTGATTTCACCCTTTTCATTCCTTGTTGCATTCAGTTGAGTTTTATCTTTCCTTTTCAAAATAAGGTTAGCTAGGGGCTTATTAATTTTATCAAATCTTACAAAGAGTCAACTCTTTGATTCATTGAATCTTTGTATTATTTTCTTAGTCTCTGTTGCATTGATATCTGCCGTGATCTTTATTAATTTCCTCCCTTCTTTTGGCTTTGGGCTTGACTTGCTCTTCTTTTTCTAGATGCTTGATGTGTAGCATCAGGTGGTCTATTTCTGTTTGTTGTTTTCCGGATGTGGGAATTTACTGTAGGAAATGTTCCTCTGAGCATTACTTTCATTGCATACCACAGATTCTGGTAAGTTGTATCTGTATTTCAATTTGCTTGTAAATATTTTTTTTTAGTTTGTAAGTATTGTTTAAATTCTTCTTTAATTTCCTCTGTAACCCACTGATTGCTCAGGAGTATATTATTCAATTTCCATGTGTTTGTGGGTTTTTTGCAGTTTATCACTAATTTCTAGTTTCATGACACTATGATCTGATAACATGCATGAGATAATTACAATTCTTTTGCATTTACCTAAGTATGTTCTGTGGACTATTACATAGTCTATTTTAGAGAATGCCTCATGCACTGGTGAGAAGAATGTACATTCTCATGTTTTTGGTGGAACACTTTGTAAACGTCTATCAAGTCCATTTATTCACAGGTGTGATTCATTTCTGTTGTTTGCTGATTCTCAGTCTGGTTGATCTCTACCTTTGTGTTAAGGTCTCCTGTTATAATTGTGTTATTGCTATTTGATTTTTTATTTATATCAATACTTGTTCTGTAGGGGCTGGGGATTTAGCTCAGCGGCATAAGCACCTGCCTTGCAAGCAGGCGGTCGTGAGTTCGATCCCTGGTACCGATAAAAATGAAAAAGACAAAAAAAAAAAAAAAAAAAAAAATACTTGTTCTGTATAGTTGGGTGCTCCTGAATTTGGTGCATATATATTTAAGATTGTTATCTCTTCCTCTTGAAGTTTTCCCCTAACTGGTAGGTAGTGACCTTCCCTATCTCTTTTAATCACTGTCAGTTTGAAGTTCACATTGTCTGCAAACAGAATAGCTACCCCTACTATTTGGGAGAGGGGAGGAGGTTCTTGTTGCATGAAGTATTGTTTTCCATCTTTTGACTTTTAGTCTATGAGTTTCCCTTTGGGTTAGATGGGTTTCTGGTAGACAGCATATAGTTGGTTGTTGTTTCTTGACCATTCTGCAGTTTGCTTCTTTTAATTGGTGAATTGAGACCATTTACGTTAATGATTATAACTGTTATATGTTGGGGTTTTTTTGATGTTATCTCTCTGTTGTTGCTTCTTTACCATTCCATTCTGTTTAGTTGTCTTCTTGCTTTTTTTCCTATGTCTATTTAGAATGTCTGTCAGTATTCTTTGCCTGGTTGGTTTAGTGATCATATAATTTTTCAGCTGTTCTTTGCATGGAAGTGTCTTATTTCTCCATCCCTTTTGAAGGACAGTTTTGCAAGGTACATCAGTCCAGTTGGAAGTCATTTTCCTTTCAGATCTGAAATACTCCACTCCATGCTCTTTTTGACTTCATTGTTTGTGTTGAGAAGTCTGCTGTGGTTCTGATAGGTTTTCCTTTACAGGTGATCTGTCTCTTCTAATGGCATTTAATATTCTGTTCTCATGTTGGACTTCTGGGATGTTGATTATTATATGTCTGGATATAGTTTTATTTTGGCTATGGCTATTTGGAGTTCTATGTGCTTCACTGATCCATATGTCAGTTTCCATTCTCATGTTTGGGAAATTTTCAGCTATTACTTCTATAAATAGCCTCTTGATATAATTTGTGTTGTTCTCTTTTTCATTTATTTCTGTCAATTTCATGTTTTTCTTTGCATCATCTTGCAGCTTAAACAGCTATTTTGAACAAAATGAGACATTGTGGTAGCCATTGCTGATTTCCTAGCATGTTTCGAAATCGTATAATGCTTTTATTCTTTTGTTTTGATAGGTTCTATACTGTTGCGTTTTATTTGAATGTATTATGTATAATAATATGCACTACTGTTTCAAAGAAAATGAGATATATTAACCATTGTTCATTTCCTATTATCTGGTTGTAAAGTCCTGTAATGCTTTCACCCTTTTGATTGGTTTTACAGTATTTTGTTATGTTTGCTATTTTTGTGCGTGAAGATATAGGCAACTATTTCAAAGAAAACAAGAGACATTATGGTAGCCATTGTTGGTATCCTGTTGTCTTGATTTGAAATCAAGTGTTGTTAGCATCATTCTGTTTTGCTTTGTTTTGTTCTCTTTAAAATAAAAAAAGATTAGAAATATTCAATGGGTATATGTCTATTGAGAAATTGTGAAGGAGTAAAAAAAATTTAAACATAGCCTTGCTTATGAAATTTTCACAGGCTTCATATTCTGACACTTGAAAACTTTCTTTTTTTGGTACAAATTACCTTAGATGTTTCCTGCAATTTCTGCAATCATCTTCAATTTGCTGGTCAATTGAGGTCCTTCCTAAAATGTGGAAACAGAAACATAATGCTGAAAATCACTGGATTCTAGGTAGTTTCCCATTATAATGTGAACATGCCTGGAAAATGCATCATAACATTTTCATTTTCCCATTAAGGAAACTGAACTTAGGAGCAGGACACAATGCTCACTAATTGAATAAATGAGAAAACAGCATCTTCCTTACCTACGGCAACCAGGTTCCTGAAGGTTTCCAGCATCACAGCTCTGTAGAGCTTCTTCTGGGAAGGATCCAGCAAAGCCCACTCCTCCCTGGTGAAGTTCACAGCCACATCCTCGAAGGTCACCGCCCCCTGCATCATCAGATATGGATTTCCAGGAAAAAGAGTAAGGTTCACAGCATAAATCAGCTCAGCTTTGCTCATCAACAACCCACATGGGGCTGAGGTTCCCCACTTTCTTCACACTTGGTCCCCACTGATTCTCCTTTCAGAGGAACTCATCACATGGGACCTTTAAGGCTACCCTGGAGTTCGGTGCTGAGCCACAGTGAGATGGGAACATTGCTTCTCCTGCTGGTCACACCCAGGTTTGCTGTACAAGCCAACTAAAGCATGGGGCATAGAAGGAGCTTACAGTTTAGAATCCAAGCCAAAAAACAAGTAGAAAGCTATCTGAAGAGTTGCTCTTAGGGTCAAAGAAAGTACCCATTTTCTCAACTTGCTATTTAGGAAACTGCTTCCTTCCCTCTCTCATTCTATTTAGAATCATTCTGAAAGTTCAGGGTGGGTTCATAGATAAGGGCTTAATTAGCCACTAAGGAAAAGTTATGCATCATAATTTGGAAAGCTGATGCAAACAATTACGCTTTCTATTGGAGAAAGCCTAAGAAGTGTGAAATTAGATTATGTAAGACATGTTATCCTGACAGGAGCTTAAGGCAGAGAAATGGGGGAATGAACATGATAAAATGTGTAGGAAATGTACTGGTCAACAGGACACTGTATACTAAAGAGGCACTAGTAATGAACGGAAAGATGGAAGAAACAATCTTCTCAGTACCCAATACACCTGCAAATGTGACACCTTCTTCAAGGTTCAGAGTTTCAGAATCCACTCTGAAGAACTCTTCTGCATCAGTAGAGAGAATAACAGTACTGACAAGGAAGAGTCTTCAGTGGGTTCATATGCGAATGGAAAATGTCTCAGTTGCTTTTCTCTCAGAGCTGAGTCAGCTCCTAAAGTTAAAGGAGGAATGGGTTGTTTTGTAGAGATTCCAGTGCAAGCTAGGCTGCAAGGTGTGGGAGACAAGTTGAATGACTCCCCTGAAGTAGAAAATATCAGCGAGAATAAAAGTATAGTTGTACACAACCCTTACTGCAGTTACACATTTGTGTCCTAGGTCACTGCTATGTTTTGATTGTTCCCTCCAAAAGTCTTGTTGAAATTTAACTGCCATGGTAGCAATGTCATGAGGTGATTAGGTCCTGTGGGCTCTGTCTGGGAGGACAATTTGAGTGACTCCACTTGAGGACAGAACAATTGTTGCAACTTAGATTATATCCAGACTTACTTTTTTTCTAATGACATGTACAGAGCTGACTATGGTCTTTCCTTCTCTCTTTAACTGGCTCTAAGCATTGCAAATGAGGCTAACAGAGCTACTGGGTATGTCATCTCTTAGGACATTAGACAGTCTTCTGTTTCCCTGCATAGTGCTCTCTATAAAATATATGGGCACAGTGGGACGGTAGAGCCATCAGCTCCAGGAATGCCAACTGGGTATGAGCCTCAAGGCAAAGAGATTACAATTCCCCACAGCAAAAAACTTCACACGTCAGACACTGAGGCAACCGCCTGCAAAATCAATTCAGCTGATATCTTAATTATATTATACAAATTGATCCTTCTGCATATCTTCATCAGTGTATTTTGCAGAGAAGCATTTCTCACTACCTGGCTGGCCACCTTAATTTATTCAGGCAGATCCCACCACCCTCACTGTCACTCATCCTCAAACCACCCTTTCTGTACAAGATAATAAATTCTGGGAGAGGCCTAGGTTCAGGGCTTTGTCCACACATTCTCATGGGGGTTGAGCTTAGGACCCCTGGGGTGCACTGAACATTGCATATTCTTGCCATGGGTTACATTAGAGGTGGTAGATTAAAATTAAGTTACTAGAATTCCAATAACATCTCAATGGTATTACAAATGTAACATTTTGGACTGCAGGGAAGACAGGAAAAGAAATTACGATACTTTGATTTCCACCCTCTATATCTGGGATTAGAATAGCAGGGTTGGCTGATACGGCAGAGGACCATAGCAGAGGAGAATCAGCCCATGAGAGTCAGATGGCAGTAACAGCGGAACCTGCACGCAGTAAGTGACAACAAGAGTTTTCTGCCCTTGCATTTCATCCACGAGAGTAGCACACACCGTGTACCACACCGTGATCCTAGTACCACACCGTGAATGGAATCGCAGCTTCATGTGTAGCTCTTCCCTTGGCTGAAAAGCCCCTCCTCTGAGCACAGGAGGCTTTGGGGAGACGCAGGCAAAGCCACCAAGCAGCACTGATTCATGAGAGAGCTCCTGGGGTACAAAGCAGCACATATGGAAAGTGTTTCAAATAGCAGGCAGGGAGACACGTAGTTGAGCCCAGATGTTTGTGCCTAGATGTCTCCCCGAACACTCAAGCAGTTCTGGGGAGGGTTCCCGCATGTGGATTGATTCGTGGTTCACTATGGTGCTACGGTTGTGAATGTTACAACCACTTTTTGATAGGTAGCCTGAATAAAACATAAAAGAGGGAAAATGTCTTGTTCTCCCTCCATTTTTTCTGTTGTTGCTTTTGCTGTCTTCTGCTGACACGAGATGTTTCCCCTCTGCCACGCCATCCTGCCTCGGAGCTATAAGATTATGGAATGAAATCTCCACAGTGAGCTAAACAAACCTTTCCTTCTTTAAATTTGGGCATCAGGTATTTGGCCATCAGGTATTTTGCATCAACAATGACAAACGAATACTTTACAGATAGTCTTCATACACCATGTATGATAATTAAATTACCTCTTTTAAAAGCAAAAATAAACTTTTTCACTTTGAGAATTCACAGGGAAATATCTTTTGAAAGTGGAAAAAAAGTGTTTCACAGAACAATCTCATGAAGCTATCAAAATTAGAGGAACAGAAAATGACATAAATCCTGAGATGTCAAAGAATAAAGCAAATATATATATATATGCAATATAGGCAAAAAGAGTTTGTATATGAAGTAAAAACTGAACTCATATGAAATCAGAGTGAAACATATATTCCTCAAGAGAAAGCACCACTTAGCAAACAGGGCCCATGAGCTCGCCTGAGGAACAGGCAGGGAAGTGGGGTGTGGGAGGACACACTGACGCTCACCTACGGGGATGGAGGGTCACACGGCACCGTGCACACGCACAGCCGCCACCTTGGCATGTTCCACAGTCCACACACCACTGAGTTCATTCCAGTTCCAGAAAGTGCAATGTGTTTCTGGACAGAAATGTGATTCCCTTCATGTCCTTGAAGAAGTAAATTTACAGAAAGTTCCACCACCTGGCCACTAGAATTGAAAAGAAACCACTTTGGCCTGACACAAAAATTGGCCCGTACAAAAGAATTAGAGGAAAACACACAGAATGCTTTTCCCTGTAGTTTCTACAGAACTCACGGATTCAGTATTTCACTCAAAATGTCACTAAAAAGCATGACAAGGCCAGAGAAATATCTTAACAGCATAACACCAGCTTAGCAGGTGCAAGGTTGGGACTTTGATTCCTGGTACCAAAAAAAACAGAAAGCAGCAACCAAGTGTCAGCTGGCCACCTTCCTCCCGAGCAGTGCTGAGCTGTCCACCTTCCCCCTGGGCAGTGGTCAGCTGTCCACCTTCCCCCTGGGCAGTGGTCGGCTGTCCACCTTCCCCCTGGGCAGTGGTCGGCTGTCCACCTTCCCTCTGGGCAGTGGTCGGCTGTCCACCTTCCCTCTGGGCAGTGGTCGGCTGTCCACCTTCCCACTGAGCAGTGGTCAGCAGTCCACCTGCCCCCTGAGCAGTGGTCAGCTGTCCACCTTCCCCCTGGGCAGTGGTCGGCTGTCCACCTTCCCCCTGGCAGTGGTCAGCTGTCCACCTTCCCTCTGGGCAGTGCTCCCTCCCTCATCTGCCCAATGGTACAGGGTCACTGTCTGCTCTGTGCCCAGTGATGGACACGACCCCTCCATTTTTAGGAGCTACTGAAGCCCACAGCTTAGCTGACCCTTGCTGTCCCTCTGTACCAAATGCTAAGCACCTTAGAGGTTCCTCTCTTTCAGAGGCAGAACCGCCTGCGAGTCTCACGAGGCTGAACGCAGTGCTCACGTTAAACTACCCGCGTGAGGCAGTGACCATCCACCATGGTGGCACTGGACGTACACAGTAGGGACATGGCCTGGCTGTTCTCAGGGCCTGCACAGCACAGGAGCCATGAGCACACTCATCGCCTGCTGCAGGGCCGTGTGTGGGGGTTACAGCCCCAGAGCTTCTGAGTCCCTTTAAATCTCTGAGGAAGGAATGAAACAATTGAAGAGGAAGGCGGAGGCGGTGACACAGCCCTGCAGGCTGGCCCTCAGGAGGCTGAGGCAGGGGGACTGTTGCGAGTTTCAGACAAGCTGGGTACAAAGTGAGCTCAAAAAGACAAGGTGTGAGTGCTGCTGTGATGGAAAAGCCACACAGGATCAAACTGCATGCGGGGCTTTCTAAGCACTGAGACCCACTACTCAACACCTAAAATTTAACAGTTAAAGGACAGCCAAATCCTCATAAGGTCTGACACAGAGTCAGTGTCACTAAAGTTAACATGAATTGTGAAGTGTGGCAGACACCATGGAGTTGCACTCAGACTCACACAAGACAGCATGACCAAGTTTCAGTGTTGTGAAAAGGCTGTAAAGGATCACAAGTGCATGAGTTCCTGTGTGAACACGCACTGAGGCCCAGACACAACAATGGTGATTTAAAGGAGGAAGCAGGATTTGGGGTCACTGTTTGCAGAGGTTTCAGCCATATTGGCTGACTCCAAGGCAGGGTGCCCAGCACCCGGGAGCGTGCTCATGGCAGGCATGGAGAGCAGGGGGCCATCAAAGCACGAGGAATGATACACAGGCGCCCTCTGAGGCCACAGCACAGTGACCCACCTCCTCCCACCAGGCTTTTCCCCCGACTCACACCCAGTTGTAAACCATGGGAGGATGAATGCAGTACGCAGCCACGATCCAGTCACCCCAAATCCCCATCCATACGTGCATGACTCTTGGGGAGAATATTTACATTTAAGCGCAGCAC